GCAGATATCTACTCTCCTTTCCCCACATGGAATGGCCAGGGTCCCTGGGTAGCACTGCGATACATCATATTTCAACAAGATGCCCTTCCTAACTGACCGTGCTTGGCCCTGCAGTCAATGAAGTGTGTTAAACGTTTGTGAAGAAGAGAATGGAGAAAGGGAAGGCAGGGAAGGAGAAGGAGGAAGGAGGAGGATGAAGAGAAGGAAGAGAAGGCTAAAAGAATAATTCTGTAAGAGATCAGCCATGGCTCAAGCCTGTAATTCCAGCACTTTGAGAGGCTGCAGTGGGAGAATCACTAGAGTCCAAGAGTTCAAGACCAGTCTGGTCAACATAGTCAGACCTCTCTACCAAAACAACAACAACAACAACAAAATGTAGCCTGGTGCGGTGGCATACCTGCAGTCCCAGCTACTTGGGAGGCTGAGGTAGGAGGATCGTTTGAGTCTAGGAGGTCAAGGCTGCGGTGAGCTGGGATCACATCACTGCACTCCAGGCTGGGCAACAGAGTGTGATCCTATCTCAAAAACAATCAAACAAAAAACCACTAAGGTGAATGTATATGTGCTGATATGGAAGGTTCTTCAAGATATTCTGTTAAGTGACAGGATGCAAAATAGCATGATGATATTGAAAACGATAATAATTATATGGATGTGTATAAAGAATAAACATTGGAGAAAAGCATACAAGAATGTTAAAGACACGCATTGGGAAAGTAGAATATCATTTTTATGTTATGTATTTCTATATGATTTGAACTCTCTATAGCAACCAAGTATCATTTTTGCTCAATAGTAGAGTTATTGAACATAATTTCTCTCCTAAGCACTTAGCAATCATTTTTCATTTAATATTCACAAAATCACTAGGGGGTGGCTATTACCTGTTCTACAGATGAGACTTAGAAAAGTTAACCTGCTTAATTTCACGTAGGTAGTAAACATTCTTTATGTAAAGAGATTAAGAGTTTTTAGGCTGGGCTCAGTGGCTCACGCCTGTAATTCCAGCACTTTGAGAGGTCGAGGCGGAAGGATTGCTGAGCCCAGGAGTTCAAGACCAGCCTGGGCAACATAGTGAGACCTCGTCTCTACAAAAAAAAAAAATTAGCCAGGCATGGTGGTGCACACATGTAGTCCCAGCTACTCCAGAGGCTGAGCTGGGAGGATCGCCTGTGCCCAGGAGTTTGAGGTCGCAGTGAGTCGCGATCATGCCACTGCACTCAAGCCTCAGCTAGAGTGAGACCCCAACTCAAAAAAAAAGTGTGTAAACTCAACATAAAGTTAATGTAGTTCTTACAGACTCATTTTGTCTCTCTTAGAAGCTCATTTCTGGCTGGTCTGGCTTTCCCTTTCCCATTATCATTTCACTTCCCCCTCAAAACTACTCAAACTTATTTCCTCTGGGAAGTACCCACAGCCCTCATGACTCCACAAACTACTCCCCAGCATCCTTTCCCTGCCTTTGCACACGTGTCACCATTTGAATTTGTGTACAGTGTTTCTTTTCTTGTTCCTCTCCATCTTTGCCTATGTGCTGCTTGTGACACTTGGCTTGGGAACCTCCCATGACCCTCCTTTCAAACCTACGGAGTTGTTGCTGGCAAACTGAATCCTTAGGGTAGCATTTGCCTTTGATGGGTCTTACTATTGATGAGCCTCAGTAATGATGTGTAACAATACAATCAATCAAGCAACCTTTTTCTTATACAGGACTGTATGTTCAATCTACTGAATTATATAACTGTCTCTGAGTGGAACAGCTTCTGAAATAAGAATGTCTTCTTATTGTTTTTGGTAGAAGGGAGATGTAAGTCATAAGGTGTCACAGATGGATTCAAGTAGATTTCCAGATGGAAAAAGCTTAACAGTCACTATGTTAAAAGACACTACAGATATGGCAGAGAATTCAATTCCTTTGCTTCAGTGCTGCTGGGACTAAGTGCTGCTTACATTATAAGCGGCAAGGAAACAAGACTAGACTTCCAGGTGGTTGATGACATGTGGTTGAGGAAAGAGACTCAACATACATTAATTAATATAGTTTGGCCCTTTGCTTGGGAACAATTATATAATTCAGTAGATTGAATTTATATGATATAGAATTATAACTATATTAACCTAATTGTTGGACATCGTATACTTCCCCTCCAAATTGGATCACATCGTACGTGCTATCTTATAGCAAGCTTTTGTCATGGACTACAGAATGAAAATGTTTCCATGTCATTCCCTATTCTTTTTTTTTTTGAGTTGGAGTCTCACTTTGTCACCCACGCTGGAGTGCAGTGGCTCACTCACGGCCACCGCAGCTTCCAAGTATTTGGAACTACAGGTGTACACTACCACACCTGGCTAATTTTTTAAAAATTTATTGCAGAGATGAGGTCTTGCCAAGTTGCCCAGGCTAGTCTCGAACCACTGGGTTCAGGCAATCCTCTCACCTCATCCTCCCAAAGTGCTGGGATTAGACTTTAGCCACCGTTCCTGGCAGTTCTTCCCTATTCTTTTAGGTCATTAAGAAAGGCTGTTTAGTAGTCCAGTATATGAACCTGCCACAATTGAATCATTGATGTTTCAAGCTGAATTATGTGACGCTTACTTGCATGAATACTGCACAGCTAAATCATGGTATACCTCTTAAATAGCATTTTTAAATACCAGCTCACTTTCGCTACCGCTTTAATCTGCTCTAGCTGTTCTACTTCTCCCTTTCTAATCTGTGACCAGATAATCAAACTAGTTAAATCAGTTTATTTGCCACAGCAGCTTATCTGCAATTCTGTCACTTGCTCTAGGCCCTAGGTGAAAGGGAGAGCTGTTGCAGCAGCTGTGAGGGAGGCTGTTTTTGCTTATTTCAGCGCCTGCCTTCCGGTAAGTCCAGTTCTCCTGGAATTGGTTCTTGCTCACTGGATAAACCTGGGCGATGGTAGTGTGTGCTATTGCTGTGATTGCCTTATCCCTTCTGGACCTACCTTTTCGGGGTCTGAAAACTCAATTTGCCTTTATGCCAGACCAACACCTTGTTGGCCCCTCTGCTTTAGTTTCTTGCATTTTTCAGTAACCCACAGCATTTGTTGGTGCTCTTTAACAACTTTGGATCACTATTAAGGTCACTGCATTTTTGTGTGTGCATGACCATAGAAAACAGACTTCAACAGTTAAAACTGGGTTAGGTATTATTAAATAGCTGCTGGATAGGCCGTTTCCCAAACTTGCCTGAAAGATCGCAAAAAATACTTGTTAATGCATTCCCAATGGATAGGCTTTGTAATTTGGATATATTATTTAACTAACAAACACCTCAGGTTATTCTTAAAATCAGGCATATTTGGAAACAGTGGCCTCGGGAATGCTGAGAAGTTCAACTGAGATCTAGGGGATCCTGTAACCAATCTATAAGTAGTGTAGGATTCATCCCATGGGAGCAGGACAATTCTAGAATTCAAACCCCTGGCTGGAATGTTGGAAAGTCTCTAGAACATGAGACCAGAAAAGGAACTTATGGCTTATTTACCTTCTCCACACCAAAGACGGTTTCAAACACGATTCCCTGGGATTCTATCCCAAACATGGGCATTCCAGAACTGCTAAAGTCATACAGGTCTTCAAAAAGTATGCAGAGAATGTAGGTCCTTTGAGGACTGAATCCTTTGTGTATGTGCTAAAATCACTTAAGGTACATAACCTTTATTAGGCAAGGTCTTATTTTTACTTAAGAAAACCAGCTTTGCCTATAGTTCCGGCTACTTGGAAGGCTGAGGTGGAAGGATCGCCAGAGCCCAGCAGGTTGACACTGGGGTGGCCTTGAGTGTGCCACTGCACTCCAGCCTGGGCGACAGAGTGAGACTCCAAATCAAAATAAATAAAAAAATAAATATGCACATAAATGCTTCAGCTCATGACAGGCCTCAATTTCTTGGATCACCCATACATGATCTATATCTTATTTCCTCAGTCTGAGGACACAGGGATATCTAAACATGCCAGAGAATTCCAAAGGAAGATCTAGGAACAGGCTGGGGAATCCTGGCCTCACTACACAATGCTATTTATTCACATGAGATCACGATTTCTATTCCTCTCACAATTCATCCATTTGATAGATTAATGTGATAATTACATAAAAATTAGACCAAAATAAAAATTAACCTAAGACTGTTGAAAAAAATGCAAATGGTAGGCTACAGACAGCTGCAGTTGAAAGGGAAACAAAATTATGAGGAGAAAATGCTTCTTAGGACCTAAAAAAACCGTAGTCATCCTTTAAAAACTGTCATTTATGTCCTTAAGAGAATCTTTAAAATGAAATCATGCTACTGATGTTTATTGTATAAGCAAACTAAATGTTTGAGCATTTCCCCCCTAACAGTTCCAGAAATTATCTTCTTCCTTAAAAAAAAAAGTTTAAAGGGAAAACTTTAAATGGTGACAGTCCAGTGGGGTAGTGTGAGGAAAGTACTTTATTCACTGCACACACAACTTTTCAGTTCCATTCATAAATACAGCATGATAAATTCTCTTGCTTGCTGTCTTTGTTATAGCGTACTTAAATAGTTAGGCTTAAGAAAAAAGAGTTCATTTTTTTAGAGACAGGTCTTGCTCTGTCACCCTGGTTGGAGTACACTGGCATGATCATGGCTCACTGCAGCCTCAAATTCCTGGGTCTAAGTGATCCTTCTACCTCAGTCTCCTGAGCAGCTAGGACTACAGGCATGTACCACTATGACTGGCTAATTTTAAAGTTTTTTGTAGAGATGGGGGTCTCACTCTGTTGCCCAGGCTGGTCTTGAACTCCTGGCCTCAAGGAATCTTCCCACCTCTGCCTCCCAAAGTGCCGGGATCACAGGTGTGAGCTGCTGCCCCCAGCCTAAAAAAGTTAAAATTTGAAGCCTCTAAAGTTATTATTGAAAGTTTATATTTCTTATGCATATATACATGTATATGTGAATATATGTACATACATATATCTATGCTCCTTTATATGAACCATTCAAAACAACTTCAAAAACCACTCATTTTTGTATTTAAAACTGCCCTTCTAAATAGTTAGAAGTTCCACAGGTGGTGGCTTTAGTGGAATTTTCCCAAGAGTATATTTCTTGGCTTGAAATTGTTCCAGTTCTTCTTCTGTTAGTTTATCCCTGGCTGTGAACAGCACACGATCTGTTGTGATGATGCTGTTTGAGGCCGAGAGAGAGGTAGATGTGCTGCTGTTTCCAAAGGTGTCACTGGATGGCTTCGAAAAAGCAGTGTGAGAATGAGAGCCTGGGCTACCGAAGCCAGCCACAGCACTGCTGCTTCCAAAGGCCGGGGCCACAGGAGCTCCGCCAGGGCCTGCTGCCAAGGAAGGTGGAAATCCTGAAAATCCCGTTGATCCGAAACTGGAAGCTGCAGGGTTTTTAAATGAAAATGAAGCAGCAGATGTGACTTCAGGCTTCCCAAATCCAAACGCTGGAGCAGAAGGAGAGGCGGCAGAACTGGCAGAGGGGGCAGCTCCAAACACGGGAGGATTCCCGAAGGCAGAAGGGCTTCCAGAGGTGGCAGCGGCAAATCCAGAGCTGGCTTTAAAACAGAAATTCTGGGCATTATCACTGCTGCTGCTAGTGACAGGAAAACCTACAACCAACAGAAAAAGAAGAAAGTCATCGGTTACAGTCAGAAGATGTCACCACAGTGCCTCTCCTGAGTCCATTTCCCTATTTGCCACGTTTGGATGTGGAGCAGCTTATTTTGGGAGGAAGAGAAGAGAAAGGTGAAAATGAGACGCCAGAGCAAACCCACGAAGCCCTGCTGTCCTGTCTTTGCTGCTGCCGACCTGATTTTCACTGTCATTGGCCTTCATCCAGAGAGAAAGCTTGGGACTAGGGAGTGGACCTTCACTTGCCCCCATCTCACCAGACCGCCACCAGAGGACATGCTGTGCTGCTACAGTGACAGGAAAGTTCTCAAGGCGCTGCTCCCACAACTATGTATTCCCATGAAACTCCGGAAGAGCCATTTCTAAAACATCCTTCCAAAGCCTGAGCCGTGAAGTCTTTCAAAGAATATGCCCATTCTGGTTGCCCTTTCACAAACGCTGATGAGCCAAATTCTTTCAAGCTCCAGAAGGGAAGATGGTAGAATTTACAGAGGTGATTTAAAATGGCGCCAGAGGCTTATAATTTGAAACCTATAAAAACCTTATTTTTCTAAATTGGTAAAGTCCTACCTGACTTTATCACTTACCTGATGACCCAAATGTTGTTTCTTGCTTACTGCCAAATCCAAATGCAGGTGCAGCTTGATTTACTCCATCCTTTACATCCAGGAGCTTCAAAAAGAGTACATAAATAATGAAGTGCTTGGGGAATAATTCTCAGATAACTTTTCCATACACTTAACAGTCAAATCCAACTTTTAAAATGTGCGTTAAAAATGTGAAGTTAAATGTTTAACGTGGAAAATCCCCGTAATACGATGTCGAAAAGGGTAGGATATAATATCGTGTAAGCAGTATAATCTCAACTAATATGAATAGAAAAAATGCACATCAATAAGTTATAGTGATGGTTTCTGGCTGATGAATTATGGGTAATTTTAATTTTATTCATGCTTTTTATACTCTCTAAATTTCTACAATGAGTGCATATTACAATCAGAAAAATATTTTTAATAATATATTTTTTCAGTGTCTATATTATAAGGTTGAATCTGCATTTATCAAGAAATCTAGATATTAGTTAAAAAGGACCTTTGCAGGATACACTAATGCTTGAACTGAAGGAGATTCACAATTCCACCATTAAAAGCTTACCACTAAAATACATGGAACAGTTCCCATTCCCCAAGAGTACTTTATGCTCTTGTACTCCCCTACTCTAGAAATGCCTTTTATCTCTGCTTGCTGAAATCTTAGCCCCCTTTCAAGCTTTTCACTTATTGCTTCCCTCCAAGAAGCCTTTTCTAATCAACCCAAACAGATAAAAGTGACTTCTCATTTGGTAGCCCCAATAACATTTTTTTTAATCAACTTTTTTTGAGATATGATTTACATATAATAAAACACACCCACTTAATGTATTTATTTCAGTGAGTTTGACAAATTATAGCCACCAATTAAGATGCAGAACACTCCTAGCACCCCTAAAAGTCCCCTTGTGTCCCTTTCCAGTCAACCCCCTCTCAATGCCTGGTCCCAGGCAACCACTCACCTGCTTTCTATCATTGTGCAGGTATATGAGACTTGTCTTTTCTAGTGTTTCAGATAAATGGAATCAGATAGCACGTACTTTTTTGCGTCTGGCTTCTCTCTCTCAGTGTAATATTCATTAACAGGTAAATATATAAACAAATTGTAGTATATCCATATAGTAGATTACTACTCAGCACAAAGAAGGCATGAGCTACTGACACATGCTAAGCCAGCTGTGGTGGGCTGTCCTAGATCCTCACCTATGAAGGGGCCCTGGAAAGTTAGGAAAGAGCATGGACCTTCCGGCCCTGAGGAAGATTCTGCAGTTGTCTGAACTCAGACATCCTTTCTCCACCAGCTCTCATCAATGGTGACAGCAGGCCACCTATCACATAAAGACAGAATACTTCCAAGAAGTCCTGCTAAATTGGAACACCATACAACAAATGAAAGGAGAAAGAAATTAGCTTGCACAAGAGTCTAGTTATTTATAAAGCATATACTGCTGGGTGTGGTGGCTCACACCTGTAATCCCAGCACTTTGGGAGGCAGAGGTGAGAGGACTGCCTGAGTCCAAGAGTTCAAGACCAGCCTAGGCAACTTAGCAAGACCTCATTTCTACAATAAATCAAAAAATTACCGGGGCGTGGTGCTATACACCTGTAGTTCCAGTTACTTGGAAGGCTGAGGTGGAAGGACTGCTTGAGCCCAGCAGGTCGAGGCTGCAGTGACCATGACTGTCCACTGCACTCTAGCCTGGGTGACAGAGTGAGACTCAACTAAAAAAAAAGGAATTTTCATGGGAGTAAAAATATCATAACCTTATTGACAGAGATAATGAACACGCCACATATATCTTTGGAGAAAAGTGGGTATATGTCTTCTAAGGCATTTCTGTATAAGACAAGGAACAGATGTTAAGTGGCCTTCAGTCACAAAGTATATATTTGTCTGAATGTGGATTTGTATCATTTTTCAAAATAATTTCTTTTCCAACACAGATAATCTTGAATACTTGAATTTATGTAATACTTCACAATGTTCAAAACCAGTACTACCAAAGTTAAAGTCTTTACCCTAAAAATAGTCTTTTTTTAATTTTAATTTTAATTTTTTGAGTTGGAGTCTCATTCTGTCACCCAGACTGGAGTGTGGCCGCTCCCGGTCACTGCAGCCTTGCCTGCTGGGCTCCAGCGATCCTTCCGCCTCAGCCTTCCAAGTAGCTGGAACTACAGGCGCGCACTACCACACCCAGCTAACTTTTGATTTATTGTAGAGATGAGGTCTCACCAAGTTGCCCAGGCAGGTCTCGAACCCGCGGGCTCAGGCAATCCACTCACCTCGGCCTCCCAAAGTGCTGGGATTACAGGCTGAGACACCAAGCCCGGCCATTTTTTTTTTTTTTTAAAGAGATAGGGTCTTGCTCTATCATTCAGGCTGGAGTACAGTGGCACAATCATAGCTCACTGTAGCCTTGAACTCCTGGGCTCAAGGGATCCTCCTGCCTTAGCCTCCCAAGTAGCTAGGACTACAGGCACACGCCACTATAACTGGCTAATTTTTGTATATTTTTTTGTAGAGACAGAGTTTTGCTCTGTTGCCCAGCTCATCTCAAACTCTTGGTCTAAAGTGGTCTACCCGCCTCAGTCTCCTAAATACAGAAGCATCCTCTGCAAAAAAGCAACAGATAAAGACACTTCCCTCAAGATAACTCTCCAGTACTTACCAAAGCTACTTTCGTTGATATAGTTAGACTTTTCAGTTCATTTACCCTGTTCCTCCATTGATTTATTAACTGTTGAACTGAATTCAGCTAAAAAGAGAAGACAGACATTATGACTCAGTATGTTTAAATTAATTTCTTCAAGAACAACTTCACATATTTATTTGCTCAAACCACAAAAAGTTTATGTAACTGTATTATGGTCCATAACTTGCAAAATTTGCCCTGATCTTCCCCTATTTGCCAAAGGTATTCCAGCTCTAGTCCCCTCTTCTTGTTTTTCTTTTTTTTTTTTTTTTTTTGAGTTGGAGTCTTACTCTGTCGCCCAGACTGGCGTGCAGTGGCAGCTTCCGGCCTCTGCAGCCTCGACCTGCTGGGCTCCGGCGATCCTTCCGCCTCAGCCTTCCAAGTAGCTGGAACTACAGGCACGTGCTACCACACCTGGCTAATTTTTTCGATTTACTGTAGAGATGAGGTCTCGCCAAGTTGCCCAGGCAGGTCTTGAACCCGCGGGCTCAGGCAATCCACTCACCTCAGCCTCCCAAAGCGCGGGATTACAGGCTGAGCCACCGAGGCCGGCTACCTCTTGTTTTTCAATGCCTTGTATCACCTGGTTAATAATCACAAGTATCTGGCAGCACAGAGTTGTTGTGTCTGGATGGGAAGTGGACATGTATGTAAATTGAAATGCATGATCATGACTGCAGACAACAACAAAAGTACAGCATATATATTGTTTCCCTCAGGTACCCAACTTATTCTAGTCCAGATTTTTGAGTTTTTGATATTTGATGCGTGAGGATGTTAATCTGTATAATAGACTGCAACTTATTTAAATGTGTTTTTCTAGCATTCATCACTGGACCTGCAATAACAGATTCTCAATAAATGTCTGTCAAATGTTGATGACAGGTTTGATTTCTGAGACTGCTAAATAATTTGTAACAAAATAATGATATTCCTAGTTACCGCAGCAAAAATGTTATCATTTTAGATAACAAACCAAGTTCAAAGAAAGTCATTTAGAAAATAAAAATAGCCTTTCTCTGAAAAAAAAAAAAAATTATAGACCTCATCAGTTTTGCCAAAACACGAGCAAGCCACAACACAGAAAACAGTAATTAACAGCATATCGATTACTGAGGTAGATGAATAGGAAACAAACTTACATAACTCTGTAAGTTATTGCTGGTTAAGAAGTTCTGGTATTCAAGTCTCAACTCCTCTGGTGAAATGTCTGTAAAACCTGAAGTGAGGAATCAATTGGAATCTTTAAAATAAATATCAATAATTGTGATAGTAAGGCTAGAGGTGCTAAACAAGAAAACAGCTAATGTTGATTATTAGAAAGTTTTCATAATCATAAGGCAAAAATATAAAGCTTACACCCTATGTAATGTTTAATAAAGAATAAAATTAAGATAAAATATAGTTGGTTATATGATCTTTGAATGGGGAAGAATTTTCTAAAGATAAGTGGAGTAGAAGGAATAGCAAAGAAAAGAAAAATAAAGATTTGACTAGGATAGGCTTGGTGGCTCAGCCTGTAATCCCAGCACTTTGGGAGGCCGAGGCGAGTGGATTGCCTGAGCCCGCGGGTTCGAGACCAGCCCTGGCAACTTGGCGAGACCTCGTCTCCACAATAAATAAAAAAAATTAGCCAGGCGTGGTAGTGCACATCTGTGGTTCCTGCTACTTAGAAGGTTGTGGCGAAAGGATTGCCGGAGACTAGCAGGTTAATGCTGGGGTGGCTGCGAGCGTGCCGCTGCACTCTAGCCTGCATGATGGAATGAGACTCTAACTCAAAAAAAAAAAAAAGACTTAACTACACTTACATTCAAATTTTTACAAAGAAAAAATTCCACCAAAAACTACAATGAGCAAAATTAAAAGGCAAATGAGGGCCAGGTACAGTGACTTACACCTATAATCCCAGCACTTTGGGAGGTCAAAGTAAGAGGATTGCCTGAGTCCACATCTCTACTATAAATCAAAAAGTTAGCCAGGCATGGTGGCATGTGCCTGTAGTTCCAACTACTTGGAAGGCTGAGGTGGAAGGATCGCCTGTGCCCAGCAGGTCGAGGCTGCAGTGGCCGGGAGCATGTCACTGCACTCCAGCCTGGGTGATGGAGTGAAAGTCCAACTCAAAAACAAAACCAAAATTTAAAAAACCAACAACAATAACAACATAAAAGGCAAACAATATATTAGGAAAACCATAATTGCAACATACATGACAAGAGAAGCCCTTAGTACACATACCTCTCACAGATCAGTAGGAAGAATAAATAAATATAGGTAAAAAAAAACAAAACAAAAAAAACAGGTGATTCACAAAACAATTCAAAAGGCCAGTGAATAAAAGAAATAAAGTTAAATCCTAAAATGTAACTTAAAAGAGATTAAATCTTTACTTATCAGACTGGCAAAATATTTTAAAAGCTATTATTCACTGTTATTCAGAATGTGGTGAAATGTATCTTCTCCTAAATTGTTAAGGGAATTTCAATGGTACAACATTTCTGGGGGGAAAACTGTCAATAAGCACAATAAGCATCACAAGCCTGAAAAATGTTCACATCCTGTGACTTGTAATACAATTTCTAAGATTTAACCTTGGGAAATAACTACATATATAAACAAAAGGTGTCATGTGTAGAGATATTCATTACAATATTTTAGTAATAGAGACAAACTGAAAACCAAAAAGTGGAATACAAAACTAGAGTATGATCCTAATTACACACACACACAGTTGGCTCTTGCACAAAAGACGTGAACTGCAAGGGTCCAATTATACAGGGATTTCTTCTGCCTCTGTCACCCCTGAGACAGCAAGACCAACCCCTGCTCTTTCCTCCTCCTCCTCAGCCTACTCAACGTGAAAATGAGGATGAAGATATTTATGATAATCTATTTCCACTTAATGAATATTAAATGTATTTTCTTTCCCTTATGATTTTTCTTAATAACATTTTCTTTTCTCTAGCTTACTTTATTGTAAGAATACAGTATATAAAAATATAGCAAACAAACAAAAATATAACAAACAAAATGTGTTAGCTGACTATGTCACCGGTAAGGCTTCCAGTCAACAGTAGGCTATTTGCAGTTAAGTTTTTGGAGAGTCAAAAAGCGATGAGTGAAATTTCAACTGTGCAGAGAGGGTCAGTGTCCCTAACCCCAATGTTGTTCAAGGATCAACTCTCTATATAAACAAGACGTATGTTTGTGTATGTGTGTTTTGAAAGAAATATACTAACATGTTATAGTTATCTCTGTGTCATCAGGCAATTTTTATTTTATTTACATATTTTGGTACTTTCTAAGTTTTCTACAGCAAGAGCTATGAGTCTTATAATTGGGAAAACTTATTAAGAAAGGAAAAAAGGCCGGGTTCAGTGGCTCAACCTGTAATCCCACCAATCTGGAAGGCCGAGGTGAGTGGACTGCCTGAGCCCGTGGCTTTGAGACTAGCCCAGACAACTTGGTAAGGCCTCCTCTCTACAATAAATCAAAAATTAGCTGGTAGCCGGGCTCAGTGGCTCAGCCTGTAATCCCGCACCTTTGGGAGGCTGAGGTGAGTGGATTGACTGAGCTCGCGGGTTCGAGACCTGCCTGGGCAGCGAGACCTCATCTCTACAATAAATAAAAAAAAAAAGCTGGGCTCGGTGGCTCAGCCTGTAATCCCGCGCCTTTGGGAGGCTGAGGTGAGTGGACTGCCTGAGCCCGCGGGTTCGAGACCCGCCTGGGCAGCAAGACCTCATCTCTACAATAAATCAAAAAATCAGCTGGGTGTGGGTAGCGCATGTCTGTACTTTCAGCTACTTGTAAGGCTGAGATGGAAGGATCGCTGAGCCCAGCAGGCGAGGCTGCGGTGGCTGGGAGTGGCCACTGCACTCCAGTCTGGGCGACAGAGTGAGACTCCAACTCAAAAGGAAAAAAAAAAAAATCAGCCGGGCGTGGTAGCACGTGCCTGTAATTCTGGCTACTCGGAAGGCTGAGGCGGAAGGATCGCAGGAGCCCAGTAGGCGAGGCTGTGGCGACCAAGTGAGACTCCAACTCAAAAAAAAAAAAAAAAAAAAAAAAATTAGCTGGGCATGGTTCCGTGCGCCTGTAGTTCCAGCTACTTAGGCTTAGGCAGAAGGATAGTCAGAGCTCAGCAGATTGATGCTGGGGTGGCCATGAGTGTGCCACTGCACTCCAGCCTGAGTGACAGAGTGAGACTCGAACTCAAAAAAAATAAAATAAAAAGAGGAAAAAAAATGTTCAGGATATTTTCTACAAAGAATTCCTTGTAACCCAGATGTCACTAATTCCAAGGACACCTACGTCAGAATAAACACAAAAAACTAAATATTCCAATCAGAACCCTGGATTCCTTCTAATGACTTGTCTTCCCCCTCTTTATTAACGGTCTAGGCAAAACAAAAACAAAAAACCCAGGAATCACCTAGAATTTCTCTTTTCCCTATATCTAATCAATCTGCATTCCTGCCGGTTCTAATTCCAACATAGAACTTGAATTTGACCAATTATTCCTCTCCACTGCTAATAACTCAAATCCAGTCAGCAGTGGCAATGTTTCCTGACATGTCTCCCCACCTCTGCTCCCAAAACACCTTTCCCCACCCCACACACAGCAACCTGAGTAAGCTTTTTCTAATCAGATCTTATCCCTCTCCCGCTTAAAGCTCTTTATAGCCGCTTGCCCAGTGCAATTAGGCCCAACATGATCTGGCCCCTGGTTCTCTCTCTGGCCTTCTGTCATAATCCTCTCTCCCTACTTCACTCTCCTCCAGTGATCTAGGCCTCAGTAGTCCTCAAACACTGGCAGCCTCGTTTCCGCCTCAGGGGCTCCACACTAGTGGTTCCTACTGCCAGAACTGTTTTCCCCAAATCTTCCCCTAACTTATACCTTTCTCTTCATTCAGGACTCAGCTTTAATACTGCCTCCTAGCAACAGACGACCACACTATCATAAGCAAACATTGTCCTAGCCCTGGTTATCTGTTCCTTCCAGCTATGCTCAGCTAGAGTTCCTCATCAGAAACACAGAACACAGAAAATGATCTGAGTGACTATTTTCTCAATTCTTGTAAGATGGGACAAAAATAGTGTTCTAGCTGCACAGAAAAGGTTAATTCATTAACATATAATGCCTAAGGACAGAAGTACCCAAACTTTTTGGTCTCAGGATCCATTTACATTCTTAAAAATCACTAAGAGTCTCAAAGAGCTTTTGTTTACATGGGTTACATATACTGATAATGACCACATTTGAAATGAAAACTGAGAAGTTTAGAACTTATTTAAAAATAAGAAACTAATGACATATCCATTAAAATAAAAAAATTTTTTCATAACAAAGAATAAAAATTTAGTGAAATGAATAGCATTGTTTTCTGTTTGTAAATGTATTTAATATTTGGGTTAATAGAAGACTGCTGGATTCTAATCTGTGCTTCTGTATTCATTCTGCTGTATGGTTGACAAGTAAAGAAAACCTGTACTTACACAGACATATGATTGGAAATAGAAAACTTAAAAGGCTTTTTCAGATAACTGTGGGCATTTTTCTTTGATACTACACCAAAATTTGACAAGCAGTAGTTTTGTTTTTTTTTTGAGTTGGAGTCTCACTTTGTCTCCCAGGCTGGAGTGCAGTGACATGCTCACACCACCGCAGCCTTGTCCTGCTGGGCTCAGGTGATCTTTCTGCCTCAGCCTTCCAAGTAGCTGGAACTACAGGCATGCGCCACTACATCTGGCTAATTTTTTGATTTATTGTAGAGATGAGGTCTTGCCAAGTTGCCTAGGCTGGTCTTGAACCCGTGGGCTCAGGCAATCCTCTCACCTCGGCCTTCCAAAGTGCTGAGATTACAGGCATGAGCCACCACGCCCAGCAAGTTTTCTATAGTTTTAATTTTTGTTTGAAAGCTTGAATTTTGTCATTGGCAATAAATATTGTCAGAGAAAAGAAAGGAGTATTCGAAAAAAATGCTATCCCTGTAGTTCAGCTAAGACTCCTCACCTTCAAACATTATCTCCAGAAGAGGCCTCAACTTTATGAAAAATAACTAGAACCAGGTAGTCAAGGCCTTACTGGCAGGCAGAATATGACTCTTCTCTTCATTGAGGGCAGCTGAGAGGTTCTGAAGTTGTACAGATAGGGAACCAAGAAAGCAGTGCCTCTGCTCGGGCTTACAGAATTTAAATTGTGGTGGCTCCTGACTGAATTGTCTTTTCATGTGAAGTAGGTATCTTAAAAGAACTATATTCTCCAATCTCAGTCTCTGAATTATGAAGTTCAGCTAGAATACTCAAATACTTTAAATAATATCCAAACTTTTCTAATTGTAGCTAAGTTTGTAACTGTTTTCTTTATTTGGCATGGTTTGGCTTTAGAAAATAACAGTTTAAAAAACACACAATTTTTTAGTTACCTGAAATACTAGATTTCTTTTTCACTGGTGAATAAACAGAAAACATCCACTGCCCTGATGATTCCCAAACTTCCATATCTTTTACAATTCCTTCTCTGTAAAAAAAAAAAAGTAAAGGATCTTAATTACTTAGTAAAATTTATCATTTACATTTTCAACAAATGAAATTTTAAATTCTAATAAATATTTAGTTTAAATGTTTTTCTATATGTTCTAAAGAGTATTCTTTAAAGCAGAAATTTACTAACACCTGTAATCTCAGCACTTTGAGAGGCGGAGGCAAGAGGATTGCCTGAGCCCAGTGTTTTGAGAACAGCTTGGGGAACACGACGAGACCTCGTCTCTATAATAAACCAAAAAAAATCAGCCAGACGTGGTGGCATGCACCTGTGGTTCCAGCTACTTGGAAGGCTGAGGCAGAAGGGTTGCCTGAGCCCAGCAGGTAGAGGCTGCAGTGGCCATGAGCGTGCCGCTGCACTCCAGCCTGGGCAACAGAGTGAGACTCCAACTCAAAAAACCCCAAAACAACAAAAAGAAGTTTATAGAAATAGGAACTATATTTTATGGTTATAAATATTCAATCAATAATTTTGTTTTCCAATATAGTGAACCATTAAACAATATACTTAGGTAAAATCTATCACAGATACCATATTTAAAAAAAAATTAGAATAAAATACTAACTTTAATATTTATTATCATAAATATTAATAATCATTTAACTAGAAACAACAAAGTACCACTTATGTGATATAGAACCATATAATGGTTTAAGAATGAAGTCAAGCCGGGCTCGGTGGCTCAGCCTGTAATCCTGCACCTTTGGGAGGCTGAGGTGAGTGGACTGCCTGAGCCTGCGGGTTCAAGACCCGCCTGGGCAACTTGGCGAGACCTCATCTCTACAATAAATCAAAAAATTAGCCGGGCGTGGTAGCGCGCACCTGTAGTTCCAGCTACTTGGAAGGCTGAGGTGGAGGGATCGCCAGAGCCCGGCAGGTCGAGGTTGCAGTGGCTGGGAGCGGCCACTGCACTCCAGTCTGGGTGACAGAGTGAGACTCCAACT